TTCAGCCATTTTTTTCCAGTAAGTTTTCGAGTTAGCACAGTACCAAGTTGCAAACTTTGACGCAATCATACGCGCTTCACAAGCATGTTCGACAGATGAATTTAAAATCTTTAGCTCGCACTTGCATAGAGAATTCTCTGCAAAGTTTCAGCCTTCTACCTTGCCTGGTTCGCGAAATCGTTTCAAGCTAAAGAAATTCGCATATTTTTTTGGGAAGCCCGTACACGGGGTCTAGGCGCGTGTGGGGAAATATTTTGAAACGGGAGGGTGACACACGGGGTAGGAACATATACCCAAAGTTCCAGCTCCCCAGTTTTCCTGGTTGCTGAGATGAAAGTGGGTGACAGGATGCACTCGCTTCTAAACATACACAGACAGCCTCACGACAGTATGCGTTTTTGCTGGCTGTAGTATCGCTATAGCGTTGCACAGTAAAAGCGCATAAAAATGGGCCAAAGCACAGAGGATTACAGTTTTATCGCGTCAGAACGGCCTTTTCTATCGTTCGATAAAGGCTCTAACAGTACAAATTGCAGATTGCTGTAACTGCATAGGTTTTATGCCCAAACGTTCGGTGAAAGCAAGGGAAACTGCAGAACTAATCTAAACAAGGACTGCTGGCCCGGATAAAATACCTACAAAAGTTAACTTTGGAACATTGAATTTACACTGCGTGATGAGTTGAGTTTTTAAGTTTTCAAGGTCATGGTTTCTGTACTTTCGAGTTGTCAAATCAGCTTGCGTTTCGACTTGTAGCCATTTATAAGGGCACAAATCTGCAAGTTTGATTTCAAGTTTGTAACCTGGCAGAAGAACAGGAGTTAAGATCAAGAGAAATCCAGCTTCGTAGCTCCCGAACTTTCTGACTTAAATCATACACACACAAGCACACACCTACATTCATACGAACATTCGTACATTCGTACACATACAAAAATATATACACGAAATCATCACTACACATCCTTGTTCGCTGAGACGTTTGCAAAAAACAAAAAAAGGCGAAAAGTGACGATGAAACGAAAGTAACTCGACGCAGAGAGAGAAATAAAAACTGCTTGGTCTTTTAAGTTTACAAACTGGCTTTTTCTTTCAAATTTCTTCTAAGCTCGTTTAGCGAATGAAGAAAAGCAAGCACATGAACGCATAGAGGACCAAACAGAAGAGCAGGTGGACATCAACAACGCATAATGAGAATTCTTTTTAAAATAATGCAAAAAGGCTGTAAAAAAATATGTCAAAAAGCAATGTTAAAAATTGGACAGCGCCCAAAGTAAAATTCGATTTTCCAGCAAAATAACGTGCAAGACTTCAAATGGCAACCAAGAAATAAAAACCTTTTCCTTTCTTCTTTTCCAAATTTTTTAAACGCAAACTATTACGGCTGCACCACCACTGTCTTGTAGAAAATGTGGTAAAAAAGTAAAAAGTAGAATGCATTCGAAACACACAGGCAAACACGCGCACACAGTCAGGGATTACTGCAATCATCAGTTTATGCAGAAGCAAAAATGGTACTGGAAAAGACTGACGTCCATAAGCCACGAAACGAATGTTTCCGGATCTCGGACGCCAAAATATTCAATTTTATAACCATCTTTATAGACGTGTATAGTATCTTCACCTTTTTCCACTTCTGAAAGTATGTCAGTGACTCAGAATTCTAACCCAGTGATCTCTTAATTATAATTTGCTCAAGCTTTTTAAAAAACTTATTTATTGAAGAAACCTTCTTGTTTTCTCAGTCGCACTTCTTTCGTTGTATTTACAGTAAAGAAATTGTACCCCCGTTTTGTCATAATTTGAGCGGATAGCTGCAAAATAAATCTGTTCGTTTGAAACTGTTAATGTTTGGATGAGGAAAAGTTCAAATACAGACAAGAACTGGTTTAAAAAAATTTCAAATAAATAGAAAAATATGGTAAGAACCAGCGCGACCACGTTTTTTCATCTAAATTTTCTAGGCATACAGGACGTAGCCGTGCTCCGTCATAATGACCCTTCTGTTCATCCGACGTACGT